CTTTACCCCAGACTTCAACACAGTAAATCAAATGTGGAACAATTATTGTGTTATATAATATAAACAGTGCTTAATCATTAAATAAATCCTCTGTACAATTTTGCAATGGATTTGGGTATTTTTGTTTTTAAATGGTTTATGTGAGATTTCCATGTCAGCTTTTCATCAATAATGACACACAAAAACTTCACTTCATTGACTCTACAGTTCTCAACATCATCAACTCTAAATGGAACATCAGCAGTTTTTTATTACTAAATATCATATCATTAGTTTTATCCAAACTTAATGACAATTTATTAAGTTTAAGCCAGGTTTGTATTTTTACAAATTCTGTTTGCATTGTTTCCATCATCTGTTCTATATCTTTACCCAAAAAAATGTGGTGTCATCTGCAAATAAAACACATTTCAACAATTTGTGCAACTTATGCACAATCAGCTATAACAGTTCTAGAATACTTGCTTTCTAAATGTTGTTTATGACATGAAAAGTCTTAAAAGTCAAAAACCAAAGTCATCTTATTGGAAAAGAAAAGGAGGTTAAAACCATAAATTGCATTTACGTAGATACATGCAGTTTCAAATCCAATGCAGTCAATTCCTATTATAATTTTTCTAAAAAAAAWTTAAAAATGCCAATTGTAAGATAAAAGTTTTGTCTAAATTTTAACCATATTTATTGTAATACGCTGGAATAAGCGAATACATTTATATTCTGCACCTAAATATTATTATTATTTACATGGTGCTGAATGTTTTAATTCCTTCTCAACATATTTTACTGCATTTCTTCAAAGGTTTATGAGGAAAAAATATAAAAATTGCATTTAACAGCCTTTCACTATAAATTAAAATGGCCATCATTTATTTTTGTCAAGACTTTGGGGTCTATCTACACTTGTACCTATTTTTATAGCATTTTTTTCTCTGGCCCAAGGACTAAAAGTGATCTATCTAAGATTGCACTGAGTCCTCACTTTTTTTTGAAGTCTTCCATCCTGCGCAGCACATTAGCGACAGTGGAAAGGAACGACTCCCCTCTAACAGGAGGAAACATCCAGCAGAACCAGGCTCAGGGTGGGCAACCATCAACTGGCTGTGGGTTGAGAGGACAGGAAAAGGACACAGACAAACCCAGAAGGGATGGTCCAGGTGTAGTTTCTACAGGAAGAAATGCTAATTGGAAAAAAAAAAAGAAAAGACAAAAGGGGGGAAAGGTTAGGATGCAGTAAAAGAGACGTAGGAGGGAGGGAGAGACAAAAGTGATTTAAGACGACAAGGTTAAAAGGAGGAGCTCTGAAGTCACGGCAGAGAAAAGGAGACAAAACGAAAAGAGGAGTGGAGGATAAGTGGAAAATGAGATTAACGATAAAGGGTGGGGAAGGCTCAGATTAATTATACAAGGAGAAGCCAGTGGGGCATACACGAGAGAGAATGGAGAGAAAAAAATCCCTGAGGACAGTTGAAAGAGTCCGAAAATGAGCTGGGTAACATTAAATATTAAAAAATATTCTCATCAGACCAGGAAAAAAAAGAAAAAAAAGATGTGAAAAGTGAAGTTAAGGCCGTAAGTCAGTGCTGGATGAATGAGTCAGAATAATAATACGCGAGCATTCTGCAGCAGAGTTAGAGGCGGGAGAGGAGAGGAGGGAAACGGGGTGATGTGTTGCCGAGTGGATCAGCTCTGGAGGGTCTCAGGGTTGCACAGAATTCCTAATGAGGAAGGATTTGCTAACAAGAACCTCGACTGCTCCCAGAAACAGTGCAAAGCCCCTGTCGGTTACACTAATCAGTCTTCATCTCTGCCTTCTTCACTCCAACTCTGGAGGGCCCACAAACTCACACAGACACACACGGGCTTCTTTCATGCAACATTTACCCAATGATTCAAGATTAGGAAATGCCTAAAATGCTCAACAAGCAAGCTGCAAAACTGAGGGGGTGGG